AGTCATAATTTCATTCTGATCGATCATCCTGACTTCAAAGTGGTTTTAATCGATTGAAACGTGTTTTAATCGATTAAAATAAATCTGATCGCTCATTTTTAAAGTCTGATCGATTATATTTCATTCGACCTGTCATATTCGAATTCTAATCGGTCATAAAGGGTTTTAATCGATTAAAAGAAGTTTGTATCGATTAAAATACTGTAAAAACACTTCTTTACGCATTCTAAGTGATTTTAATTGTTTCTTTTAAAACTATATCGGTTAAAAACATTGTTAAGAAAGTTCTTTGTCAAAATGCTTTTGTTTGATTTGTTTAAAACTATTTTTGAGGCATTTTGCAAATTGAGTGAAGGAGCTTCATGCAGTGGAAAAGGTAAAGTGGTTTAACCTAAGCTTTCGTTAAGACACACTAAGTCTTCAGACTCCATTCTTCCGAGTGACTTGTTTGATCTGTTGCGAGTTGACCTTTGACTTTATCTTTGACTTCATCAAATCACCGACATCTTTGCTAGGATCACTTTCGGTCTCCCCCTATTTGATGAAGACAAACACCATTTTGAAAAAACAATCTCTGCAAAATAAGTCACTTGATAATGAGGTTAGGTGAGAAATATAAGAATGTAATAAAGTTTTATTTCTCCCCCTAAAACTTATTTCTCCCCCTAAAATGTTGCTCTCTTAATGTAAGAGTTATTTTTCTAAATTTATCCTCAAATAAAGCAACTATTTCTCCCCCTTTTGACTTCATCAAAAATAGGGAATAGAAGAGAAAAAAAAATGTAGGATTTGAAATGTGCTCAAGTTTTTGAAAATACAAAGTAAATCAATATTTCACTCATGAAAAGAATCAATTAAAGTTGATTCAAGCTTATCTCCATTAACACGTTTGTAATGAATACAATTAACACGTGTAAAGATAAGGGAATCACGCTTTAGTACCATGTTACAGGAACGACCATTAACTAAAGCCTTTAATCCTCTTTTCAGAATAAAAATCGATTAAAAACGAGCATAATCGGTTAAAATGTTTTTGGTAAATGATTTTAATCGATTGAAGGAAAGTTTTAATCGATTAAAACATTTAAGATTTTGAAAACATGAGATTTTAGTGAAAATAATCGATTATTTCGATTTTAAATCGATTAAAACCAGTAATGAAAACTGTTGTTTAAGTTTATTTAACCGATTAAAAGGTGTTTTTATTGACTAAAACAACCAGATTTTGAAAATCATAATATCTCTGATGTGAATCTTTCATATCTAATCTATTGGATATGTTGTGAACTGATTGTCTAGATTACTATCAACTATATTGATTGTCTTTTTACTAACAGATTTAACAATATCAGATTTTAGATTCTTAGGGATCTATGATCTACTTCTATCTATGCTAGTTTAATCTCAATTAGACCCTAAATCATATCAATCAAGGTTAAGGCAAATGTACCTGTATAACACCAGTAATATTACAGTCCAAGCAAAAAATATAAAGATAGAAATAAGCAGAAGATAAAGATGATGATCATTCATTTGATCCCCACCTACGGAATTTACCTACGGATGTGAGGATTATGCATTACCTACGGATGTAGGAGGTAGGTAATGTTTTTTTACTACTTTACCTACTCATTTACCTACGGATGTTAAATAAAAAAAAAAAGAAAAAAAAGAAAAAACCCTCGCTACACTTCCTCCGCGCCTCACTCAAGCTCCCTAACTCCTTCCTTCGTCTCCCTCAATTTCACTAACCTCCTCTATAACCCGCCACCCACCTCCTTCACCAGAACCCTAGCTGCAGCCTCCCCACTCTCGAGCACCCCACACGGTATCCTCATTTGAACCCATATACCCGTCACCACCAGGCTTCTTCCCCGTCACCACCACAACCATACCCGTGCCCTAATTCCACCTTCACTCACCAAAGCTTCTCACCAACGCAGAACCACCCCGCAGTCGCACCACATCTTAGCTTTCAGCCTCCAGATTCTCGCCCAATCACCCTCATCGGAACCACCACATCTCACTGCCCATAGCCGGCCACCGCGAACCCAGCCGCAAATCAACCTCCAGGTCAGGACGCCACCACACCCCCGTCGCGCGAGCATCCCTGCAGCACTGGAACTTGAGTCACCTCGACGCCGGCTGCGGTCACCGCCTCTCCTCGCTCCAGCCCACCCCCATTGTGCCACTGAGCTCGCTGTGAGCTAGATGTGAGATATAGAGGCAGCGAGTTAAGCCTGGTATTATGCTTTAATCCTATTTCTTTCACATTTTTTGGAGTCTGAACTGTTCTGCTTAGTTAACTATTAAGCCCGGGTCTGGTTTATTTGCATATGAATCATTGAATTGGTGGCTCTGTTAGTTGAATAAGATCTTGGTTTATTAAGGTTTTTTTACCGTTATTTCTGTTTAGTTTGACTTGAATCTGTGGTTTTCACTTGATGAGGTTGAGACTGGTGTTATCCAAGTCCTATTGGCTTGGTTCATGTCTCTGTGGCTTAGTTTCTTGGTGGGTGAGTTAAGAATGTGTTTCCACCTTACAAATGCTTCATAATCATGACCCCAAAAAACTTATGAGCATATTTGACAAATTTAGGTCCAGTTGGATCCTTCTAGAGCGATTTACAAAAATGTTCATTATAACATCAAAAATGGAAGATTAGGTCATAAGTTAGAAAATAAAGGGAAGGGAAGTGGATACCCATGAATACCCTGATATGCCTTCAACTTTGGTGGGTGATTGGAGTCAAATTTAACTAAACTCAACTTTATCAGTTTGTTGGATATTTTGAATTTCTTTAGCGTATCTGTAAGTTGATAAAATATTTTTTATGGATATGGTTGTTTAACTGATGAATGTAATTGTTTCCATGTGTGCTTGTGAACAAATCATGCTACTTAACATGCCTCCATGGCCCCTCTCCTCCATATTCCTGTTATGCTTAGATTAATTGACCCATGCATTTAGTTCTGTGTCATTCTGACTTAATTATTGATGAGTAAGTAGATTCTGTTTGTAAAAATATTACATCATATATGTGAACACAGTTAATCCCCATGTTAGTTGTTAGAACATTAAGCATGTACAATGAAATTTTACCAGGACAATTTTTCATAGGGGGAAGCTTCATAAAAGATAGAAGGATAAAGGGAAGGAAGTGACTCCTCATCCAATTTGAAGATCTTTGTTAGTAGGTAAGTAATTACCTTTGACTTTTCTATATTGAATTTTAAATACTTGATTGATTAGTTGGCTATGGATGCCTTGTATTCGAGTGAGGATTGGGGGCAATAAATGTAACATGTAACATGGTTAGTCGAAGGATTGAGTTGTTTGATTATTTTGTTCAATTTGTTTAGGCCTGGAGATACCCTCTCATATTCGAGCATCTACCGATTCTCGTGAGATTACACAATTAAAGAAACAAGTGCTTAGTTATAGGGAGGATAATGAAAGATTGAACCACCAATTACAAACACTTGTCGGTGTTGTCCTTCCTTTACTTCCACCCGATGCCCGACAAGCATTTCAACAACAACATTCCCAACAAGGATCACAACAACAATCACAACGAGAGCAGCAAGAGCGAGCAAGAGCAGCCTCAAGATGAACAAGGACATTATTATAATTATTAGGACACTCAAACAATATTGTCATAATATTTATTATAGTACTTCTTTGGATTTGTATGTTCTTAGATATTTCAAGGACTACTTGATGCATGCTAATATTAGGATTTGTGTTTGATATCTGAATATGCATTTGGTGCATATAAATATTATGGAATATTGTTAAATTTGATATCTAAATATTTTATGTGTAATATGCATGTAACAGGTAAAATTTAGTTAAATTGGTGGTGATAAAATTGTATAAATTTACCTAGTGATTTTCCTACGGATTTACCTACGGATTTTGAATGATGTAATTACCTACGGATTACAATCCGTAGGTAATTATGTACGGATTCTGTTCGTGGGTAATTACCTACGGATTACAATCCGTAGGTAATTACCTACGGATTGCAATCCGTAGGTAATTACCTACGAACAGAATCCGTAGGTAATTACCCACGACGACATTACCTACGGATAGTAATTCCGTAGGTAATTACCTACGACCATATTATCTACGGATTTTCTACGGAAAAAAATCCGTAGGTAAAATGACATTACCTACGGATTTTTGCCATTACCTACGGATTTTTGCCGTAGGTAATAGGCTTTTTTTTGTAGTGTTATAGGAAAAGGAATGAAACCAATCCTAAGTTATTTTATTTGATCTTTTCTATTTTATAGTACTTTGTCATTTATTTTCAACCTATGAAAAATAAGTTTTGTTTTAATTCACTTAGTAAGCTTACGATATGGAATTTCCAGTGAAACTGTTCCTCGATAAATCGACTTTTATTTAATCGAAATACTATACTGTGATTGATAATATTGGTGCGCTTGCCAGTTATTCAACAACTAGCCTTTCATGTTGAAAAAGTTTCTATAAACCTCTGAATTTCTCATCATATAACCATGAAAATTTTAGAATCTTTAGTATATTAACTTGTTTTTAACTCATTTTTTGGATAAAAAGGGACATTTTGTTTAGGTCTTCATTGAACTAGGTCTCAATGTGACTGCCTTTATGTTATTATGGTGCAAGTTCAAAAGGCACACCTTGATTTGATGTGTTTCTCTCAGTTACTCTACCTAGTTTAGATCTCTTTACCATGTTGAATGATGAGTTGAGACAATTTAGTTTGAGGCAGGATAATATAATAACATGGTGCTACAAGGAAGAGATATAACCAACAGAGGACAAGGATTATGTATAGAGAACTAGCATGTACCTTGGTCAAAGTTGTTTTGATGGATTAAAGAATCTCATCAATGGTGGTTGGAATTAGCATGTGTTTCAATGACCTAGAAAAATTGACAAAGGTGATATTGATTTCCAGTAGTGGGTATCATATCAAAGTTGCACCTTTTGACCTAACAAATCCATGAGACATGGGGAGATGTTTTCTAGAAATGCTTATCAGATTTCACACTCTAGAAAATCAATGACTTCTTTACAATGTTTGTTCTGTTATTGCATTGGATGATACTAGGTTTATAAATGTCAGTGTAAGTAATGTATAGAAGCAAAAAAAATTTAACCAATTATCGTACCCATATAATTAATTAAACTGGAAGTGACGAAGAGTTAGCTGTCAAAATAATGAATTGAATTGATTATTTTGACAAATTAATCAATTAAATCAACTTATTGAAACATATCAATTTTAACTAATTTTAATAGGTTAAAGAACAGATGAATTGATTAAAACAAAGACGAATTATAGTGAAGGCACAGGAGAAGTTATTTTAACTGATTATTTTGATAAGGTAATCGATTAAAGCAAAATCATACAATACCAGTTTTGAACAAATGGGCATTCATAATGCTTGTACTGTGATCTTGAAGAAGAGATATACGTGAAGTTGTCCCTGGGCTTTCACTCTTGAACTTCAAACCAAGTGTTTCATCTTCAAAAGTTCTTATACAGTTTAAAACAAAATTCTAGATGTTGGTTTGTCATATTAAACAACACCTTAAAACAATATGGTTTCAAACAATCTATTTTTGACTATTCTTTGTTTAATATACATAACGGTTCACTACAACTTAATGCTTGGTTTATGTTGATGATTTAATTATTTCTAAAAATGATAGTATACTACCATACTTCCACTCAAACAAATCTTGGTTTTTTTATATTTTGGGCATTGAAGTAGCTTGAAATTTCATGGGTATTCTTCTTTGTCAAATGAATTATGTTCTTGACATCAATTTTTGAAGTTGACATGTTACAAGCTAAACCTATTATTTCCCTCTCCATCAAAATCATCATTTTCCATTGGCTAAGGGATCACCAATCTGTAATATAGAATGTTATTGTTGATTAGTGAGATGTTTGATTTATCTATCTATTACAAGATCGACGCTTTCCTATTGTGTGCACATGCTTGTACAATTCATACAAAATCCACGTAAGGAACATTGAGAAGCAATTTCAAGTTATTTGTTATTTAACAGGTAATATGAGCCAATAATATTTGTTTTGTACTGACTATGATCTTCAACTTTATATTTGGTGTGACTTTGATCAGACAAGTTGTCCTTTAACGACGTGTTTACCTATTAGTAATTCATTTATTTCTTAAAAAATTAAGAAATAATATATTGTCTCTCCTTTTTTTGTTGTTGTAGAATATCGATATATGGATACCATGATACATGAATTAAAATGGCTAAAAGCTTTACTTCTTTTCCTTGGAGTTGATTTTCATCTATGAAACCCGATTGTAATAGTCAAGAGCTCTTTATATTATATTGTTGTCAATCATGTTTTGTTTTACACAAGTGTACAAAACACATTGAATTTGATTGACAATTTTTTACTAAATGAAATTCTCAAAGGCAACATCATTAATTAACCAACATTTGCCAACTCATATCCAATTGGCGAATATTTTCACTAAGGATTTGGACAATAAACAAAATGAATATTTTCACATATGCAATATTGTTTTAGAAATTTATATAAAAAATAGTAAATTAAAAATGTAATCTATATTGTTTTTCATGTTCAAATAGTTTTGATGATGATAATCGAATGATGCAGGATTTAGGATATGATATCATAAACATTAAGTTTATACCAACGGTAGCATGTTTATATTCTCCCCTTTTAATCCACTTAAACAAGTTTAATTTGCTACTTTTGTTGAGTTTGTGTAGAAAAGATGAACGGATCTTAATATAATAAACAACGAGTGGAATAAATAAATATAAGCAATTAAGTTAGACTGGACATCCATAAACAGACGAAGATAACGAAAAACCAGATTCAGAGCTTGTCAAATCTCAATAAATTTGCGAAATTTTTAAAATGAAGATTAATTTAAAGTCTTAAAGAAAATGCCTTAACTTCTAAAATTTATCCACACGGCACTGTTAATATATATATATATATATATATATATATATATATATATATATATATATATATATATATATATATATATATATATATATAAAGAAGAAAAGTCATACCTTGATTGAGGGGATATTTAGCCAAGGAGAGACAAAAATAGAAATTGACTTGTATAACAGTGTAAAGTGTAAATATAATCTTATTAAATGCAAATAAATATCGTGATGCAGTAAATGAACGACAATGAAGGAAAAAAGAGAGGTAAAACTATTATATTTTGATTTTAATCACTCCATGATGAAAAATTACTATCTTTGATGTAAAGTTAAATTTAAACTAGACATCATTAATATTTATTTTAGGATGTAGAAAATATTTGGGAAAAATCAAAGAATAAGAATAGTTGTGATAAGCGTAAGGAGGATGGACATGATATGACGGGTGGAGGAAATGAAGCAACACGGTGACAGCGGTTTGATTTGGTTTGTACAGCGTGTAAGTGGCTTGATTGCCGGAGAGTTCCATTGCGTTGCATTGCGGTGATCATGTATTCCTCGGGCAAGTTGGGCAGAGAGCTTGTCTGTCAGTCCCAAAATTTTGCATGAGAATGCACCAATCTCCCACACTTCTATTCTATTTATACCTTCACTTCTTTACAAATAAATCACCATTTACATTCACTAAAACACATCTTTTCATTCCTAGATTCTCTATTTACTATTCTCTCTGCATGCAATGGCTTTAACACTACACACAAAATCTGCAGTTGTTAGTTTCTTCATATTTTTCTGGACATGCACATCTAGTGCTACATCCGGCGCACTCTCTGAACCTTCCATTGCTGCACAACATGATGCGTGGATGGTCCAGCATGGCCGTGTTTATCCTAATAGTGCAGAGAAGCACAGACGCCGACAGATATTCAAGTACAACTTGGACTTCATTCAGAAACACAACAACCAAGGAAACAAGAGTTACACTTTAAGCCTAAACCATTTTGCTGATTTAACTAACCAAGAATTCCTCGCGTCTTACACAGGAGCTCTTTATAACCCACATACTCTACCACCTTCTTCCAACACTTACCATAACATCACTCTCACTGCCGCTGACATTGATTCAAGCGTGGATTGGAGAAAGAGAGGAGCCGTTAACGAAATTAAGTACCAAGGCCAATGCGGTATGTTCTCGTTTGTGTCAACTTAGCTACCTACTTCATATAAATACAATTCTCATGCACTTCATACATTTATACATTTCTTTCCGTGATGATGATATTTGAATTTCATTCGGTGGCAGGGAGTTGCTGGGCATTTTCAGCTGTGGCAACTGTCGAGGGGATCACCCAAATAAAAACTGGAACCTTGATTTCATTGTCTGAGCAACAGTTGGTGGATTGTGCCAGCTATGACGGATGCCATGGACAATCCATGGAAAGAGCCTTTGAGTATATAAAAGGAAATGGTCTTGTAAGGGAAGATGAGTACCCTTACACAGGAAGACAATGGACTTGCCACCGTGTTGGTGGTGTCGATCTAACCATGATTAGAGGTTACCAAAGTGTGCCTCCGCAGATGGAGGAGGAACTTCTAAAAGCAGTGGCCAACCAACCTGTGTCGGTACTCCTTGAGGCTAAAGGACAAGCATTTCAGTTTTACTCTGGCGGAGTTTTCGATGGACGGTGTGGAACTGAACTTAACCATGCAGTTACTGCAATTGGGTATGATGGGGACGCAAATGGCAAGTACTGGTTGATAAGGAATTCATGGGGCAAACAATGGGGAGAGGGTGGTTACATGAAGATTAGGAGGGACACTGGTACCCCTGAAGGTCTCTGCGGCATTAACCTGCATGCCACTTATCCCGTAGTTTAAGTGTTTATTTTCACCACTACTCATTACTACTACGTACTACTATTTATGTATCATCATCATGCTGTTGCCTATTCTTATGCGATTAATACTACATTATAATCAATGTAGCATAATCCATCATACCGTCTTTATCTTAATTAAATCAGTTCTTGATCTATGTTTCTCTCTTTTAAATTATATTATGACAAAATCTTATGAAATGTGCTATGACTTGTATAATAAAGCTTTCCCAATCATTGAACTTGACTATTTTGATTTTACACTAAAAGATCCGCTAAACACAAGCAGTAATAAACTCATTTAAATTGATATTCGTTGGGGTTCTCCTCAAAGTTCCAGTTGAAATTATTACGTTAGCTTCAACTTAAGCAACAAATATATAATTAAGAACATTCGAAATATATATGGAGTCATTTATAGGTGGGTATAAGTCCCTAAAATTTTCTGAATTACAAGTTAATCGCTAAATATTTTACATTAATTTCAAATTGATTCTTAATTAAGTTTACTTTTTATAATTTACTCCTAAATACTTTTAGTATTTAAAGTGCTAACTATTTTTCATATTTTCAATTAGGCCCTCCATCAACTACTAACTAGGCTGATTTTTTAACATCTTATATTTTGATGTAAATGTTGACTTATTGGCAAACATACAAAATTTATTAATCACAGTATAATTTCGATTAAATAAAAGTTGATCTCATGAGAAACGGTTTCAATGAAAATTCTCAATTATACGCTTATTAAGTGGATTAACACAAAATGAGTTTTGCATAAAGAGTTGAATTGAAATTAAATGACAAATAACTGTATATTGTTGAGAAAATATCAATTAAAGGTACTTAGAACTGACTTCCTTCCTTATCCCTCTTTTGCAATGACTATGTCAGTTAAGCACATCAATTAACCTAACAATGTTGATGTCACCTACTCAAATCATCCATGTTGATTTCTCACACATGAAATTCATAAGAAAACCTAATAAATGTTGAATTCGCTCACATGTAAGAGATTTTCCAACATTAGGTTTAGGGTGTTGACAATTGATACATTCATTCCATTATTGGCAATTAACGTAACAAATATACTTACCGTGATCTAGGGTTCAAGATATATTTTTCAATCATATCCCAAACATCAAGAATAAATCATTCCAAAGCACAGAAGATAAGAATAACAACATCAAAGCATAGATTAATATCTCAAAATATCACAAAGATACAAAAAAGTTCAAAGGAAGTGTACAAAATCCCAAGAGAATGAAGTTAGCCACTCATGTTGGCCATTACAGTGCTCCAAATGTGGAAGAAGTGAAGAATTGATGAAGATTGGACGAAACCCTAGCAGTAGTCTTGCCTCTTCTCCCCAAAACCGCTTGTTTTTCTCAAAACACATCTTATCTTTTTATAGGAAAAATTGGGTCTCGCATCTTTCGCTCAAGTGACAACACTCGCTCAAGCGAAAATTCCCTATTTTCGCTCAAGTGACTATTTGCTCGCTTGAGTGAGTGAGATCTAGAGAAGAATAACTAATATTCGCTCAAGCAAATTTACTTGCACTTGAGCGACTTACTTCCAGAGAAGAATAACTGATATTCGCTCAAGCGAGAGCCCATCTCGCTCGAGCGACTTCCATGTTGAAAATTTTCTTCCTTCTTCCAGTTTTGTTCTAATTATGCTGACAATTATGCTCCTTACTCTTGTATCAAGGTATTCTCGAATTCATCCTACATTGGGAGAAAAATATATTAGAATTAACATAAGTTAAGTGATTTCATAATAATTCAAAACATAATTATATCAACTCTTTACCACTTAACAACTCCCCCCAACCTAGAATCTTGCTTGTCCCAAGCAAAGTAATTTTTCCAAAACAAAATCATCACTTATTATCACTTTCTCTTCCAGAACCACAACATAAAAATAACTTTTCAGATGCGATGCTCACAACTCCAAATGAAAATAGAATACATAAGCATTCAAGTTACAAAAACTAACAAAGGAAAATCTTTCATCAACTATCCTCAGAGAAGCATTATCTCTCACATAGAGTGATAAATAGTCATCTCTAACTCTCAAGGGTAAGTGTTTAACTCATTCAATCACTTCATTTAAACAATCCAACATTGATAGTTATCTTCAAGCAATCAACATTTGTTAAGCAAGACTTAAATCAAAAGGTCTTTTGAGGCTTGTAATGGGGTTGAGCTAAGAAAAATCATTGGTTTTTCTAGGATATTCAAAGTATTTGAGAAATGCAAATCATATGAATGATTTCTGTTTAACATTTCCTCAAGTCGGGTTTCAAACTTCATGTTTTTGCTCCTACACAATGATAGTGAGTTAATAACCTCACAGGTTATCATTCACCTCCCCCTTTTGACTTTCTTTTTTCTTTTCTCATGCTTTGTATTTATCATTTTGGCTTAGCCACAATTTTTATGCAAATAATATTATTTTTATTTTTTAGAATAATAACCCAACAATACCCGTAGGACAACAATAACAATACCCAACAATAAGAATAATAATAACATTCATAATCATTTCCTTTCTAAAATATAGGAAGGTGGATAAATATTGTTTAGGCTCAGGGGTTTTGTTTAAGAAACAATATTGTTTTTGGCTCAAATGGGGTTCAAATGGATGTTCTATAATTAATGCAGGGTTAGCTATTTGGCTCTAGGTTATATCTACAAGAAAAAAAATTGTCTTTATCATTTTCAAGTCTCACTAACATGCAATCACATCAAAGAACCAATCAATACCAGTTATTTTTATTTTGATTGATTCTTTTTATGATTATAATAATAATAAATTGAGTTGCCTGGATGTTTGTGTTATGATAGTTATCAATATATCATATTTTTTGTTGTGAAATATGATAGAATAAAAAATTACATTTAACATGAGTTATGAATTGAAATTATTATTTTTTTCAAGATTTATTTAATCATCAAAGAATGAAAAATTTATTTAACCACAATGAATAGATTTAGGAGTTGTGAATAAAAAATAATAAGAATATATAAAGAAATAAATTAGTAACAAGAGAGATAAAGAAAGAAAAATAAGACTGAATTTATATTGTTCACTCTTTACCATAATTACATTCCGTCCTTTTCCAAAACTAAGAATTCTACTAAAAATTACAATAGTTTTACAAAATAGAAAACCTATATATTTCAAGAGTCTTTTTGAACATAAAATAAAAAACAACTCTTCCCAAAAGCCACTAACAAACCTATTAGCACCACAACTCCCACAACCCCAATTTAGGACATGCAACATTCATCAAATTACAAAATTACAAAAAAGATTTCACCTCGAAACAAAACAGTAGTGGCAAAATATAGAAAAATAACCTTAGGTGAAAATCCTAATGAAACTTTAAATACAAGCTTTGATCATGGAAAAATAGAATCAAGATAGTCTCCAAGATTTTGTGTAATAAGAAATATGATTTTATCTAAGAAGTCTGGCCTTTAACAACTTTGGCAGCAGACAAAGTTGAAATGGGAGTAAATTTTCCCTCTTGTAAGTGTGACTGCCCAGTTGGTGGTGAAGAGGAAGAAGGAGTAGTGGGGTTGATGACGTCATTCTTCACCTCTCCTTCTTGCTCAGGAACTTCTTGAATGATGTGGATGAGGGAGGTTGTATAATCCTCCCACTCTTCAGTTCTTGATCCACTCTTTTGCCCATATGATGATTATGGGGGCTCTTACGTTG